TGCACATGTTCTACTACACGATGCCACTGATTAACTTGAACCCGATGGGGATAGACGGCTAATTTGTCCTTGAAAGATCGTATTGAGCAATGTATTTTAGTCATGTATGTAATGACTGATGTTACCACATTTCAATAGCCTGAGTTGACCACAGGGGATCACGGAGCTGACTTTACCATGCTGGATCTCACTAAGCCGCTGTGCTCTTGTCGACTGGGAAAAGACGATAAGAAGCAGATCCCGCTTATCAAACTTGACCAAATGGACCAAGGCTAATTTTGCCGTATTGAATCATACGCACACATATCGGAAAGCTGGCTATGGGGAATTGACAGTAAGACATGCTGGAGACTTTGAAAGTATGTTCGGTAAACTGTACTCAATATGGCTGAACGCATTTTTGCGAGAAAAAGGAAATGTTTTTCTATAGATAAGACTTTTTCTTATTCTAGGGGATTTCTTCTGCAGGGGTATGTCACCCAGCATCATTGATTCCCATTGACGGTTAATCATGTAAATAGTGAGATGCAGATGATGTAGATGCCATTTGATGGGCTGTTTCAGAAGAGGGGTAGTTCCATTACATGAAGGATATTGATCGTCTGGCAATTTACTTGTTGAAGTGTCTGTAGGAGGTTGAGGAAGATGGGGTACGATGTGGTAAGGTTACACAGTGGATGAGGCTTTTTTGCTTGCTCTTCATAATCTGGATGAAGATCTTGGGTTCAGTTCCAGAAATGGTACACGTTTTGATGCCCTTTCCTGTGTCCTTTGGAATTGATGTTTCTGGGACTTTCCTGCCGAAAGAACATAGGAACATTTTTCAATTTCAGTGTATTTTCGTGCCTTTTATTTGGCAACTGAATGAATATGTGTTTATACCAATTGGATTTTGGGGGATTATTTGAGCATTGGATTAGAATATTGATCTTCAGTAACCCATGCCTGTCGTAAGAGGCGACTAACGGGATCGGGTGGTCAGGCTCGCTGACTTGGTTGACACATGTCATCGGTTCCCAATTGCGCAGATCGATGCTCATGCTATTGATCACTGGATTGTCTGGTCCAGACTTGATTATTTACAGACCGCCGTTATATAGCTGGAATATTGCCGAGTGCATGTAAAACTAAACTCACTCACTCACTCTTAAAGACTAACAGTTTCCATGTTTGCTGATTCCACAGAGCCAGTGTGGGTGAACATCAAAATGGCCTAAAATCACACAATCACTTTAGGAGTTGAAATGCAATTAATCTTTTGAGTTAAGATCGTGTGTGTGTGAGGTTGTTGTTCAAATTTGTTCTCAAGACAAAGTGTTCCAAACGATGTGGTTTTTCTTTTCCTTCAACTTGATTGAGTAAGCTTTTTTTCTTGGGATGATCAATGTGGTCATTTGATGCCCAAACTTTTTAGAGTCCACTGAGGTTTTCTTTGTTTACTGACCAAAAAGTCATATATCACAGTTGAACAATACTTTTGTGTTCACAAGTTCTGGTGAAGGGATGCTAAGACAAGGAACTAATAGAACAGTACCAACACCCCACTCAGAGAATTGAGACATGGTGCATGAAATCAAGCACTCAGTATGAACACATCTCCTGTGGCAAGTCTCTGATAGCAAATGTCTACACATGTTATCTGCCAAGAGTTCCAGTAGTGATCAGAATATGGATACAGTTACGTCTTGATCCAGTCAGATTGTACATCAATACTGTAATCGTGTATGACATATGGCTTGAGCTCTTGATAAGCCAGGATAACAATGCTGAAAGATTAATGTTCCTTTCAACAAAATGTTAAGAAATGTCTTCATATCAGATTGCGAAATAAAAAACCCTGCTGACCTTGTAAGGATTTATTTCTAGGATTAGACTTGAAATGGTTATATTGATCTAATAACATGGCTGTACATTTCCTGTCATTAGGCAAGCTGTTTTTGTAATTGTATTTGTTCTCTGAATTTGGTTGACTCCTAAGTCCCGATAAATCATTAAAGACGTGATTTGGTAATTGGACTGTCAACACATTTTTTCCTCGCTTCTTGCATAAGAATCCTTGATATTGAGCTCAGTGTTAGGAGACCAGTGACCTCCTTGAAGGACAGTTGCTGTCTGCTTCCATTAGAATCTGTGGGATTGAGATCTGTGTTAGGAGATTGATGACCTCCTTAAAGAACAGTTGGCTTTTTTGTTGGAGTTGCAAGGTTTGAGATCTGTGTTAGGATACCGGTGACCTCCTTGAAGAACAGCTGTCCTCTTTGTCTATAGGAATCCCAGGGTTTGAGATCTGTTAGAAGATCAATAACCTCCTTGAAGAAAAGCTGGCCTCTTTGTCTATAGGAATCCCAGGGTTTGAGATCTGTTAGGAGATCAATAACCTCCTTGAAGAACAGCTGGCCTCTTTGTCTATAGGAATCCCAGGGTTTGAGATCTTTTAGGAGATCAATAACCTCCTTGAAGAAAGCTGGCCTCTTTGGCTATAGGAATCCCAGGGTTTGAGATCTGTTAGGAGATCAATAACCTCCTTGAAGAACAGCTTGCCTCTTCTTCTATAGGAATCCCAGGGTTTGAGATCTGTTAGAAGATCAATAACCTCCTTGAAGAACAGCTGGCCTCTTCTTCTGTAGGAATCCCAGGGTTTGAGATCTGTTAGGAGATCAATGGCCTCCTTGAAGAACAGCCGACCTCTTCTTCTATAGGAATCCCAGGGTTTTGAGATCTTTTAGAAGATCAATAACCCCCTTGAAGAACAGCTTGCCTCTTCTTCTATAGGAATCCCAGGGTTTGAGATCTGTTAGGAGATCAATAACCTCCTTGAAGAACAGCTGGCCTCTTCTTCTGTAGGAATCCCAGGGTTTGAGATCTGTTATGAGATCAATAACCTACTTGAAGAACAGCTGGCCTCTTTGTCTATAGGAATCCCAGGGTTTGAGATCTTTTAGAAGATCAATAACCTCCTTGAAGAACAGCTTGCCTCTTCTTCTATAGGAATCCCAGGGTTTGAGATCTTTTAAGAGATCAATGACCTCCTTGAAGAACAGCTTGCCTCTTCTTTTATAGGAATCCCAGGGTTTGAGATCTGTTAGGAGATCAATGACCTACTTGAAGAATATAGGAATCCCAGGGTTTGAGATCTGTTAGGAGATCAATAACCTCCTTGAAGAATATAGAAATCCCAGGGTTTGAGATCTGTTAGGAGATCAATGACCTCCATGAAGAATATAGGAATCCCAGGGTTTGAGATCTGTTAGGAGATCAATCACCTCCTTGAAGAACAGTTGCTCATTTGTTCCTTATGATTCCTGGAGATTCAGGTCTGTTAGTAGACATTGATCTCATAGAGAACAGTGCAGAAGGGTGAACAGTCAATGCCACCCAAAGAATGTATCATAACTGATATTGATTTAGCCTGTGACCTGATTGTTGGCTTGGCGTTTCTTATTGCATGAGTGACACTGGAAGCCAGCAAAAGGTTTTTATCGATTATTTGCAAATGCTTCTCCTTTGGTAAAAAATGGTGTCAATTTGAGTCGGATGATGAGCCAGAGAAATGTATTATCACTTGTAACAATGGTTGTCAGTTTCAATTATAGAACACATGGATGTTGCCGATTAACTATGTACAGCAGAATTATATGTTAGTACAATGTACTTCATTCTTAAAAATTACATCTTATATATATATATATATATATAATGTGATATATAAGTAGCTTAACAGTTAGTGTGGTAGTTTGTAAATCAGAACAATGGGACTCTATCCACACAAGGGTGTTATACGTAAAGCACCTGTTTGGTTTTTCATGCTGTGAACTGCATGTGTTAGTGCTGTGTATAGTGTGTAATACTACTTAGCAATCTTGTCACAGGTGTCTGCAGATGGCCATTTCTATAATGTGCAGTCAGCTATGCATCAAGCGGGCAAATATGTTTTTACACCGCTTTTAACAATATTCCAGCAATATCACAGCAAGGGACACCAAAAATGGGCTTCAGACATTGACACTTTTAACCATTAGTCCACCCCACCGCTCCAATGATCTATGCAAAAAGGAAAAAGAGTAATATCAAATTTTCTTGTGTAAAGATACAGCTAAACAACTATTTGATTGAATTGGTAACATTTTGGTAAAGGTTTTCGGGCTGTTCTGATGCAAGAGTTTGTTCCACCTCGAGAATGGTGTAAGAATCTCCACGGAAATGTATCCGCTGCCATAAACAGTTTATTAGCTGTAAACTTTTATGTTTTCCAATCCACTTACTAACTTCTAGAATGCCATTCAATCAAGAAATATTCTTGTTTCAAATTAAATAATTATATATATTCAGAGTAACCTGTAGACCCTTGACACTGCTTCTGTGTATTCAGCAATATTGCCAACTGTTGCTACAACTTGTAGGTTATCAACGGAGGCTACCTTAACCCATGGTTGATATGATATGCAATTATCTCTGCCACTGGGATGCATTGACACACAACCAGGTCACGCAATGCAATCTCACCCATTCTCCTCCAAGCTGTCTTTTCAACAAAAACAGATTGCTGGGGACTGATTTACCCATGAACATTATATGCCTGCTACGAAAGAATTTCTGGGTCACTTAGATTTACTCTAATACCTGTATGTCAACAACCAGTAGCAACTTACTTTGTTCAACTCAGGTTGACTCCATCAGAGTTAGGAGCGGTGGAGTAGCCCAGTGGTTAAAGTGTTCTCTCGTCACGCCGAAGGCCCGGGTTCGATTCCCCACATGGGTATAATGTGTGAAGCCCATTTGTGGTGTCCCCCGCCGTGATGTTGCTGGATTATTGCTAAAAGCAGTGTAATACCATACTCACTCACTCCTCACTCCATCAGAGTTATGGCCCTCTAAAGATCTTCTGACATTTTAGGCAAGAAAATTATGACCTTTTGTTTGAGACAATGACCATCATTATTAAATATTTGATAGATATATATTTTACAATTTTCATTAATTCTATGTCTCTTTATTTGCAGCAAAAGCACCTGCAATAAGAAAAATAAGAAATCGACGTATTGAAGAAGGAGACACATTACGGTTAAAATGTTCAGCAAAAGCAAAGCCAAACCCCAAATTTCAGTGGTTCAAAGATGGACATCCTTTAAAAGAAAAATCAGGAACGTTACGAATACAGGATAAAAGGTAAGTTTTATTAAAACCTTTCTGGATATGTTTCCTTTTATATTAATGTAGAACCAAATGTATTCAGGTGTTATGTAAAACAAAATATATCAGGTTATCAAGGTTTGTAGAAGTGAGGAGTTCTGCTATCCAGGTTGGAGACAAGGGGAGTGCCAGTATTAGACCATAGTGCCTGTTACTTTGGGTTATCCAGGTTGGAGACAAGGGGAGTGCCAGTATTAGACCATAGTGCCTGTTACTTTGGGTTATCCAGGTTGGAGACAAGGGGGGTGCCAGTATTAGACCATTTGGTGCCTGTATCCAGTGCCTATCCCAGTTTGGGTTATCCAGACAAGGGGAGTGCCAGTATTATCCAGGTTGGGTTATCCAGAGACAAGGGGAGTGCCAGTATTAGACCATAGTGCCTGTTACTTTAGGTTATCCAGGTTGGAGACAAGGGGAGTGCTGGTATTAAACCATAGCGCCACTGGGTCCTTAGGGTTATCCAATTGACATGACAACTTTGTTCATGCTTTGAATTCTTTGACAAAACATCATATTTAGATTATAAGAAATTGATAATGTTTATTCATTGATAAGAATTATAAGAAATTGATAATTCTAATGCAAAGTCCATATAGATGTCTGTAACCAACATCTGCTTCATTCATATCACTATGGTAAATCCATCAGTTGGCCTGTTCTTCACTATGTCATCGTACTAGGAAATCAGGTGTTCTTCAACTTCATGATTTTATCACAAGGTACAAATTGTTTTTTATGCTGCTAGTTGACCTGACTGACAGGTTAGACTTCATACCACCTGTCACATGAAGACAAGGCCCTAATCTGTCAGATCTCTTTGTCCTATTTTCATGCTTGATAACCAATGAATATGTTGTACACTCCAACTAATGTGTTGATTGTCATCAGGTACAGCTTTTTACCCCAATCCTAATCTCTTTTCTACCCTTGTATAATCCCCCAAACTCTACTTATACTGTGTTCTTTATCGAAGCAACAATGTAGATAAATCGGACATATTGTATGCTACTAAAGTCTCAAGTAATTGCTGATGAATTTAGATGCAATATTTGGTTGCAGCAAAAGATTAGAGGTGTAATATACTTATTTCAAATAATTTCGTTTTTTGCTAATATAAAACAGAAAAATGAAGGTAACCGATGGAACCCTATACCCCTTTATGTTTTTAAGGATGAATTTGTCTACAAGATTACTCTTGACCAGAACGAACAAGAAATAAATTTGTCTTAGTGATAAACTAGTCCCAAGCAGTTCAGAATAAAATTCGGGCGGTGGGGTAGCCTAGTGGTTAAAGCGTTGGCTCGTCACGCCGAAGACCCGGGTTCGAATCCCCACATGGGTACAATGTGTGATGCCCATTTCTGGTGTCCCCCTTGATGATGTTGCTGGAATATTGCTAAAAGCGCATTAGAACCAAACTCAGTCAGTCAGTCAGAATACAATTCAGTAGTGAGTGAGTATGGTTTTACATAACTTTTAGCAATATTCCGGCAATATCATGGCGCGGGACACCAGAAATTAAAATTCAGTAACAATTTGAGAGAGCCTGCATCGTATACAGACACAATCTTATTTGAAATCTAAAAATTGTCCTCAAAACTGTTACATTTCCAAATTTCAAACCAATTGAATAATAAAATTCCAGTATGGAATACATAAGTGTTTTATGTATCTCTGTGTTTTTTGTTTGATCATTTTTCTCTGTTTGCTGTTTGTTTTTTGCTTCCAAGATGCATGATTACAGAATAGTATTTAGAAGTGATAGGGCTGATATCCATGAATAATATCCCCGTTTTCTTGTCAGATTAATCCATGTGGATAAACTTAACTTCCTGGGGCTGTTGTAAAACAAATCAAAGTTGCATATGTGATGACTACTTTGTTAAAAGAGATTCTTAGATATAAAGTGATACCTTTGAAGTTTATACGGCCATTGTTAGATTATATCAAGAGAATCAATGTAAATTTTACAAAAAATGTCAGCCTAGAGCGCAAGTAATTATACAACGTTGAAGACAAGCATCCCTTGAGGGAATTGTCCCGGTGGTGATGGAGTTTGTCCAAGATACATTAAAACAGCGTTTACTTTATTGTTCTTTTGCATGCAACTTGCATCGTGTTGAAATTTTTAAGAGGATATTTACAAATAACAAATTCCAGTCTGTTGTGAAGATAAAATCAAAGGCAATAAAATCATGTGTTCCAACAGTGGTGAAAGCTCTACAGATAAGATCTTATCACAAGTGTATTTTTTCCACATTGGAATACAGCCAGAATCAAGCTCTGATGGTTCAGACAAATCACGTAAGGATGAATGATATGTCTTGCATATGCGTAAAGGGGAAGGCACACTGGGAAAGAGCAAGGTCTGTAGTCTAAACACACATGGTCAATTGACATGATACAATGTTGCTCGCACATGGCGAAGGGGAAGAGCATGTTGTTTTGTGTTGAATAGTAATATGGTCGTTGCAATAAATTGCGCTTCAAGTTCCAAAGTTTATGTCATGGCATTCGCTGGGGGTATATATTTTCAAACGGTGGAAATATCTTGGTTGTAGGATAGCAGCAAATGGGAGTTGAGTTTTGAAACGGCTCCTTTACATTTACTATTTAGGTACGATAGTATATTTAAGAATGTTTGTATGTACGTATCTTAAGTAAGCTATAAAGAGTGTATGCTTTATCTATTAAAAAGAAAAAAAAATTCCTAACAGCATATACTTTTGTTCCTGAAAATGCCAAAGTATATCTTTGAAAGATCTAAATTATGTTAAATGTATTTTTACAAAATACCCAAAGGTTCTTTACTTAAATTCATGTATTTTTTAAGCTGGTATTTTTTGTAATAGATTTATATAAAGTTTTAGTTAAACATGATTCTACATCAAAGTGTGTCCACCCATCTGAATTATCTGTTGTTTTATCATGTAACACCTTCTGAATTTGTTCTCAGGAGATCATCACGCTTACAAATTTTCAAAGCATCAGAGAAAGACCAAGGAAACTATGTCTGTCAGGCTTCCAATGCAAAGGGTTCTCATAATATTACAGTGCGGGTTGAAGGTAAGTTCCCCTCATAACATTAAACACATAATCGTATGTATTTGTCTTTCAAAAGTGTTTCCGTTATACTCGACCAGACAGAACCTGAGAAGGACCTGTTTGTTAGCACTATACCGATGCTGATGGGTTTCAAACCCATGATGCCAGATTTGTACTGGTAATGGTTCTTGGTGTCTCGACACCACACATGAGCTTTTGGTTTCCATAATTGGTAAATGTCTCAGACATTCATCATGTGGGGCTTTCCTCCTACGAAGCGGTGGGGGTAGCCTAGTTGTTAAAGCGTTCGCACGCTTGTCACGCTGAAGACCCGGGTTTGATTCCCCACATGGGTACAGTGTGTGAAGCCCATTTCTGGTGTCCCCAGTTGTGATATTGCTGGAATATTGCTGATAGCGGCGTTAAACCCAACTCACTCACTCACTCCTCCTACATGAGACAGATATGCGCTGAAGTGTTGAAATAACATTTAAAGAGTCGTTAAACCAACGTAGAATTGGTCCGTAGTATTATATTATATCAAGGGACAACTAATATGGATCTGATGATTCGGTCAGATGCTTGTGTATCTCCATTGTACCCTGAGGGGGATCAAACTGTCAATGACCGTCTTTTCAGACCAAGATTTGATTATTTACAAACCACCTTGATGTATCTGGAATATAGCTGGCTGAAGCATAACACAAACAAACGAACACAAGCATGTTGGGATTCCAGACTAGGACAGATAGCAGACACCCGCTGCTTGTTGCAAGACGTGATTGTTATCGCAATGCATAGCTAGTCTGACTGTGATGTACTGTACCCAGACACGATATTGTTGGGGAATCTATTTTTTGTTGGTTTATAGATTTTGAAAGTAGAAAATTTGCTTGGTACAATGGAAAAATGGATGAATTTTACAGGATTTTAATTGCCTTATATATGTTTGATTTGGAAAAAATATGGAGTTAAAAAATTATTTTACCTTATTTGAATGTTAATATTTTGGATATTAAAATAATGAATAATCTGTGTAGTTTTTGTCAAATCACTTAAAAATGTGTTAAAATTATTTATTGCCCAAGTGAGCTTCAATGTCATCTTCACTATCCGAAGGCCTTTTTTTTTTTTTCGTATCTGTTTTTCTGAATACTAGAATTTTTACGGTCAGCATGTTTTTATACCAAGCAAAAACATGTAAGGCTTAATATATCTCTGAAGCTGATGATTCTGATTAAAAATAACATTCACTTATTTACAAAGAGTACCTTCACACAAAAATTTAAGTTAGTGATTCAGATAAGGAGCATGTCTAATAAACATGTCATCATATTAAACAGTTTTAGGATATTTGTCCAAGAAATTCTAGATCTTCATGTTCCATTAAGAGAATTATTTAATTAAAATTGAACTAAGTTTTGAGAAAAACAAAAAACTGGAAAACTGTATATTGATGTTCTTTTCCTTTCATCATATTGAAAGTTCTTCTCTAAACTTAATTTAGGGAAATGAATGATTTGAATTGTGGCAATGAATGAACGGACTCTGTACATGATGCAACATTCATGTTGGTTGGCGGCACCCCATCAGCAGAGTGCAGGATTAGAAGGGGAGGGAGGCACTCGGTTAGGGTGAGGAAGCAGGCCAGTTCCCTGCAGGGTTGCATGATGTGAGTGGTTGTTTGAAGATAATGACATAAAAGTCATGCTGTCTCTGGAGACACTGCCGAAGCTCTGTGTTACATTTTTCTTTTCAGGCTTTTTTCAGCCACGTTCGCTTGACTGATCTTGCATTATATGGTTTACTGGTAAAAAATTGGATTGCTGCAATAAAATGATTATTTTGATTTACCAATGTGTTGGACTTGAATGAAATCATGACATTTTATTCATTTAGCAGCTTTCAAAAATACTTGTTCCAGAAATACCATGTCTGGTTTTATATATATATAATGTACTTCAGTTTGCAGTCTGTTTGTTCAAGGTGAACCCAATCTCCTGCACTTAACATGACAAGGTGCCATTATCTAGTTTTTATGTTTCTTGTATATGTTTGTGGAACCTTAGCAACCACTTTGTAATTGGATACTAGGAATATTATGACCTACAAGAGATTCTAGTATCTTCGTGTTGCCTCCTCCCGAACCCGTTTCAAAATGATACTGTGTTGGAATTTGTGTTTGTTTAATACATAGTGTTATTAAGGTAAGAGCCATATCATGGGATTCAATTTCTAGCTATAGATAAAACTGAAATCTCAACAAATTTAAAGGCCTTGCATCTTTAGAGAACTAGAATGATGTATCACAATGTCTCAGTTCAATGTGGAAGAAAATCACCATTTGAAACCTGGGACAAACCAAGGATTATCACCTGGGACTCCAACTAGGGCTGGGACGGGTAACCCGGATACCCAGGACGGGTGGGTATTGAGTTGGACCCGGGTACCTGTTTCAATACCCAGGCCTGTTATGATCATGTGACTAATAGATTAAACAATTTAATATGTTATTTCATGATTAAAAGGTTGTATTGTCTTGGAAGATTTAGACATAATTACAGTCACCTCTTTTGAATATAATACATGATTAAGATATTGAAAAACTAAAAATTTTAGCCTCCTCTGAAGAATATATTGCCATCTCTTACAAATTTGATGTCATAACGGGTTTCCAGGTAGGGTAGGGTAATAGGGGGTGGGGTACCTGGGTAGAAACTTTGGACCCGTCCCAGCCCTAATTCCAACCCACATCAGCTGATCCTAGCACATCTAAGGATGTTACTCTGTGCAGTCATTTCCAGTTTGTTTGGTTGAATGCCCCTGAACCCTGTTGAATGGTACATCAACAAATGTCCAAAATGTCCACTGTGCTAAATGGACCGTGTTGACAAGCTGACTGACTTGGTACATTACATGTCATCATGCCCTGTTGATGTTGGTTCATGACATCAATCATTTGTTTGTCTGGTCAAGAGTGAGTGAGTGAGTTTAGTTTTATGCTGCACTCAGCAATATTCCAGCTATATGGCGTCGGTCTGTAAATAATCGAGTCTGAACCAGACAATCCAGTGAGCAAAAATATGAGCATAGATCTGCGCAATTGGGAACTGATGACATGTGTCAACCAAGTCAGCGAGCCTGACCACCCGATCCCGTGCGTTGCCTTTTACGACAAGCATGGGTTACTGAAGATCAATTCTAACCCGCACCTTCAGGGGTCTGTCTGGTCAAGTCTTGATTATACACAGACCATATAGATTGAGAGGGATTATGGCTTTATGCCACTTTTGGCAGTATTCCAGCAGAGGCGACTAACGGGATCCGGTGGTCAGGCTCACTGACTTTCTTATCATCATATCCCCATTGTGTAGATCGATGCTCATGCTGTTGATCACTGGATTGCCTGGTCCAGACTCGATTATTTACAGACCACTGCCATATAGCTGGAATATTGCTGAGTGCGGTGTTAAACAACAAACCAAACCAAAACCAATATTGCAGCAGTATCGCGGCGGGGACACCAGAAATGGCTTCACGCATTGTACCCATCTGGGGAATCGAACCCGGGTCTTCGGTGTGATAGGCAAATGCACCACAGTGCAGAGGTAAACAACAAACAACATCCAGATCTAAGGTGCCGTGGGGTAGCCTAGTGGTTAAAGCATTCACTCATCATGCAAATACCCGGGTTAGATTCCCAACATGGGTACAATGTGTGAAACCCATTTCTGGTGCCGTGATATTGGAATATTGCTGAAAGCTGCATAAAACTAAACTCACTATCTCACTTTGATCGAAGTTTATCAGTCACTGGCAGCCAACAGATATATATTGACAGATATATATGCTAGACTGGATCATGTGGTGGTGGTCCATGCGTTATGTTCATGACGGGACCGAGGGCTGACGGTACCAGGTGGTATCAGTCTTGGGGGTGGGACTGTAAGCTCATCTTATTGATGACTTGCTACTCAGCGCTAAGTCCTATTTGTCTGAGCTGTTCTACAACATATTAGACCCTCCTGACATCAATGCCGAAACGATGTTGACACACTTCGCATCTCGTCCAATTTGCCTCGGCACTCCTGGAGCATGGCGTCACGTCAGACTCATTTGAATCTCAAGGATAAGCAAGGTCTTAGAATAGTCGGTGATAGTATCTGTAGTCTATGTATACATTGTTCAGAAGACTAATAGCTGGGTAATTGGCAGCTACAAAAATTGAGAGTGTCATCTCCTCAGAACTAAGCCTTTGACTGTATCTACGTTGGAACTAGACCGTATCGCTGTAGTTGTAGTGGTAGATGCTGCAGTTGTTACACCTTCCTCATGGCATGAAGAGCATGTGTTTGGAGGGTGCTGATGGGTGTACTATTTTCCATAAAACAATTTTTTGAAAAATCCATCGAAAGTGAAAAATGAAAAATAATTGTACTTGAAATAGTTGTGTGAAAAAAATGTATAATGTCAAAAAAGTAACTGTTAAGTATACATAATAACTTTATTAAACTTGTGCTAAAATCTCATAAAAGTTTATCACTAGATCTAACAGCCATGCAAGACCTGTTATTGTTTGATATTTGCATTTACCGTCATGAACAAAAGCTGAACACTTGTCCAAATGTTTTCACACAGATTGATTATCCACATTCACATAAATGTAATTTCAGATTTTAGATTCAACTTGACAATTTGTCCGCTAGTTTGTTTTTCACTGAAAAAGGCTGATGTTATTCACATTCAATGATGCTATTTGTGTGTATCGTGCATTTTCACATATTCTTTCCAAATTTCACTAGAAGTGTCACAAAGAAAATATACCTTCTAAGAACTCTACCCAGAAATTCAAACCATTTTCTGTAAATGAAGTAAAGTTCAAACATTTTAGTCATATCCCCATATGAGTTGATGGTTTTGTCTCCATATTGAAACAAATAGACTGGCCCCTTTAACACAGTGTTTTAGGAAATGGTTATAAAGTTATGTCGGAGTTGCTTCCCTTAGCTCTATCAGGATCC